ATGAACAGTTTTTTGCTATAAATTTGAATTTTACAAATTACATTTTGCTTACATTTTATAATGAATTTATTTGAATTAGCCCACATAGTTAAAAAAAACAAATCATACGTAGAATTTTGCTTGCACAAGAAAAGCTGTTTATTAAAACATGTAAAATTCTTCCTTGAACATCCAGTACAAGTCATTTATTAGAATCTGCTGCCCAGCAGCGAGACATTACTGTATCCTGCAGTTTTTCAGTCTAAAAGTTCACCGTATTTTGTTTTGTCATCAACAAGGGCAAACTGCATTTTTAGCCATATAAGAAATAAATAATACAGAAAAAGGGATCAGTTTAATGTGGTGACAGGGTTTATCACTACTGCCATCATCAACCCTGTCTGCAGAGTCCACTTCTGGGTTTGAAACGTTTCCCTAAGATGCGTACAAACGATTGGCTGAGCTTCTCTGCAAAGCAGATCCAGGATGTTTGACCTTCGCCTCAGACATTACGACTGCCATCACGTCTTCAGTAGGAACAGAGGTAGTGTCAGCTGTTGGTACATCTTTCTTTTTCTTGTTTTCAATGAGAAGTTGTTCCAGTTCTTCTTCTATGGTGCGATCCTCCGCAAAGGGCAGGAAAATCATCTCCACCATTCCACCAACCATTCCAAGGACAGCCAGAGTAGAGCCGAGCATGTAGATCTTCAACATGCTGCGGGTAGGCTTCTGGCTCAGCAGATCCTTGGCGAAAGGGATGATGTCGCTTATGCTTTCCATATTTGGATTTGATGACCCTGCTGAAAAAAGAATCAAGAAAAAACAATGTACAAACCTGTTTAGTCTGAGAAAATAGTCCTGAAAATGTTCAACATGTTTTAGAAGCAACAACTCACCTTGAAGCACGTACCAAAGTCTTGATTGTCCCAAAGTGTTTGGCTCAATCTTGATAGTGGAAAGGCAGGAGAAAATCCTGCAATTTAAGGCCGAGAAGAGCCACGTCAACTCCCTCAGACCTGATGCATATTCATGAGGCACTACAGTCATTTTTTAAAGAGATTCACACTTGTTTGTGTCAAAGGGCATGCAGTTGTAGAGCAAGAAATGAGACACTCCTTGTATGTGATGCTGTGCATGTGACATCACATTTGCGCCAAGCAGATACAACAAACAGCTTGGTGTGTGGACAATCTCCAACAATAGAGTTTTTGGCATATCCATCAATACTGACACAAACTGAACAACGTGTGGTTGATTTGCATTGGGTGAGTTGTAACTGTGTACATAGTCTTCCTCAGGTGAGCTTGAACAATGTCCAATCAAAGTATGTGTGGCTGAGAAAAGTCCCTCCCACTTATTGACTGACAAAGATAGTTTGGTTATACAAGTAATACCCCTTATTGAACACCGACAGATAAGTTCCACAGCCAGATAAGGTGCTACACAATCATTTGAATCATGCAGTCCTGTGCTGCTCTGGCTCCTGCACTCAAGCAACCCACCTGACTTGGTAAGAGACTGCAGTGTTCATGTGTGTGTGCATGTTTGCGTGTACGTGCAATCTTTGCCTCAAACTCCATGCCCTTCGACCCAGATCTTGCTGCACGCGACAGAGGGGTGAAGTCAGGCAAGTGAATTGGGAAATGCGTCTGATCTTTGTCACACAGGACCATGTGTCATCCACACTCAGTGAAATGGGCACAGAACACAAATTAGGGCTGAATCAACATCTGTACAACAGATGATGCACACTTTGCACGGTAGCTTTTAGTCCAGTTGGATTTTAAACCACAGTGATGGCCATTGTCTATCTTTTGTCTTTTGTCTTTTCAGTGATCCAGTCAGAAAATACCTGATAAATTAAATATTTAAACTTCTAGGTGAGTTATGGGTCAGTGGTAGAGCAGATACAGCATATACTGAGGTAACTGTCTTTCTTCCAACTCTCCTGGGTTTAAAACTCGATGATTCCAATGATTGCGCTTTCTGTCAGATTTGGAAAAGAATTTCTTCAATTGTTGGGAAATAACCATGTCAATATAGCAAGTTTCATACAAGAGTGTAAATAAAAACAAATTCTGTGGTCAAAGTTGTCATATCGATTGACAATGTCAACAAGCTGAAGAGAACATACAAAAATAACTTTTTAAAGATTAGGATAGAGAACAATAACGTCACCTTGAAAGAAAATTCAATCTGTATCTATCCAGTAGTACAGATACACAGATAGTCACTTAAACTCATCAAAAAATGCAAAAAGCACAATTTTGCATGATGGCTGTCCATTTATGATCATGAATAAGAAAGAAGACTGAAACTATGCATTGAGGAAGTGATTGGACCGTTCCTTGCGTTTCTTTTACCTCAAGAATGTTAAGGAATAAGAAGCTTTCTGGATGTAGGGATCAAACAGCATTACGGGGTAGAGTAGCTCCTATCTATCTGGAAATGCATAGACATTGGGACTTGCCTATGAACACAGCGTAACTCTTTGATTAGCATCAATGTCCATGCACCTGGCTGCATTTAGTCTCCATAGTAGCAATCTCTTGGATTTTTACCGTTACTGCTTTCCTGACTGCATCAGGTTTTAAATATGAAACCACAGGATTAGGATATCTTGCTTCAAACCCAAGCAGGAGTATATCTGCTTTCTTTAGGGAAGCATGTTGGATACTTTCCCATTTGCAGCATTCCGAAATTTGCGAAGGATATGGTCGAAATCAAAAGCACAGAAATTTATGTGTCCACTCGCTTTCTTTGCATGTTGTTGCTGCAGGGCACCAGCATTAGCAAATGAAATGGTATCAGACTTATATAGCTCTTTTCAACCCTACTGTATTGTAGCCACAGCTGTCCTGGGGCAGGTTGACCGAAGCTACGCTGCCATCTTGAGCCATCTGAACATTAGAAGGGAATTGTCAACACCTTCAGGCAAGGTAGGACACAACAACAGAGGCGAATGATTCCTACCGCCTTATTGTTTTGTTCAAATCATCTTAAAGGCAGTGACTCTACTACCTCATCAGCAATCCACGAGCTGCCCACAATGCTCACTACATCATCAAAAACCTTTCTTGTCATCTTCAAAAACAAACAAAAAACTATCCAGAACAAAAAATACCCCAATTATTATTCTGACAAGATAAATTACTTTTATATCGAATGAGTATCAAAGTAATTGGTCTATCTATCTAACTAAACAAAAAGAATAATACTAAAAGAAGAAGAATTTCCGGTTCTAAAATGACAAATTATGTTGTCCAATCAACAACGTCTCAGGTTTCCCACTGCTGTTCTGTTAATGTCATATTTTTCAGTTCCTATGTTTTTCAATTTGTTGTTCTTAATGGTTTGTTAAAGTGGTTTGCACTTCTGGGCAAAAACATAAAATCTTACCAAGTATTTTTAGTTATACTAGAAAGTGTAACTTATACTCCCACCAAACTAAGAATTGTTTATTTATTTTAATGTTTGATTTTTTTTAAAGACTCTGTAGTTGGTGCTTATGTATTGTTGATAATTCTTTGAGTAACACATAATTACCTAGTGATATTTTCAAATTTCCTGCCAACTTTAAACATTTTTAAACTCGAAAACAAATTTTCTTTGGGAAACCCTGTGAGATTTTGTGTTTTTGCAGTGTACGAGCATCCATCAGGGAGAAAATTATACGCCAAAAGCCAGTAAAGTTCCTTGATTTCCTACTTAAGTTTGGGACTTTGTTTCTAGGATAACCTCTCACCAGTTTATTTCTCTTTTTTCTGTGGTTTTCCTTAACACCCTGATGTGAGCACTGGTAATGTTGCACATTTTGGTTTGTTTTTGCTAAATAAACATGAGGCTTTCCAAAGACGCTGTGGTAATCTCTCTGTGATTACGCTGTCCAAAATGTTCCTCTTTAAACAAAGTGACTTTGGATTCTGGGCATTTGAGTTGGCAGCTGCCGGGAAAAGGTTGAGTCTGTTTGGAGACCTTTGCCCCAATTTGCTGCATTTCTGCGCTTGAATGGACAGTCTGTCTCTCTGCTGGACTTCATCAAGCCGGTCTTTAGGTTAGGTGAGGAATAGGTCCAGATGTAAGGAGGCTTTTCAGTGAGGGTTTGGATGTAAAAGGGTGGGATGTCCTGTTTATTCTGCTTTCAAATAAAAATGATTGACTGGAATGTTTATCTGCAGCATTTCAAAAATGAAAGGGTGATTTTTCCTTTTTAATCCAAGAGGTTTCTTTAGATATAGAGCAAATGCAGACAAGCGGATCAATGTATATAAACCTAAAATATAGTTGGTTAAGCTTACATGCATTGAATTAGAGATTTTTTTTGTTGGAGCTTCTGAAAATGTGTTTTATGCTGAGTGTAATTCACGTTTTTTGAAACCTGCCGCGCTAAACACTCTCTTGTTAATCCTAACTGTGTTAGGCGCTTAGGTGTAATCTAATCTAATGAAGTGTTGCCTGCTAATTGGCTTTCAGGTTAGTTTAATTGGAGACACTAAATCAGGTCAAAGGTGAAAATGTTCAAATATGGCTGAAGAGTTTCTGAAGATAGGAAAATACAGTAAGAAAAAAATTTATTTGCAGTTTTGATCAGTGCTCTAATAAAAAAGTTCAGGTATTTTTTTAAGCCAGTTTTTATTTTTACCCTAGTTTAAAAAATATTCTTGCTGATTCTCTTTTTATACCCAATATAAAAATACTCCTCTATTCATTTGATTAGAGGATGATGAAATCTTCACTACTAGATTTTCATTTTTTTGGCCTATTTTACAATTTTTCTTATACCTGAATCAAGTTATATGTAGTAAAAATTTCTAAGCACTTTAATCAGTGCTTACTTTAGTCAGTAAAAATGTTGAAAATAATTTCAACAGCTCAGAATTAGCCTATTTCAGACATTTCATTTTATGTCATATGTAGATTTTTAAATTATTTTTATTATTTATCTTTACTAATATATTTTCATTTATTCATATAGTTTTTTTTAATATCTCTGTTAAAAACAGAAAACAATTTGAGAAACATTTTTGGTAAATGAATATTTTATTGAGTTCAAGTAGATGAATGACATAAATTTCACATTTAGCTTTTATTTCTGAGCCAACCAGATTTCTTCAGAATATACTGGAAACAAGATCAATAAAACTGCACCAAACTGAATAAAATAAAATAAAATAATAAAAAAAATCACATTACAAAGTGTGTTTTAACTAAGCAGTTAATGAACATTTAGGTTTTAAATCACAGATGGCATGCAAGAGCTATGCATTGGCAATTTTTAATCATACTTGCAACATTCATAAATACTGAGATTTATTAGCTTGAGCACACAAAGAAAAGCATTTACAGGAAGAATAAAGACATAAATTTACATCAGTGTTGCTTACTAGAAGCACTTCTTTAAAATGATTTATTTACAACGTGGGTTTTTATTTATTTACAAAAGTTTGTGAAGGTTGTCGTCTCCTTCCTGTCTGTGCTTTTCAGATCTCAAATGATCCTTTAAAAAAAAGCTGCAAACAAGTCGACTTTCCTTAAAAAGATCAGGAACTCTCTGTTCCAATCCACCGTTCTGTCCTTTGAAACTCAATGTCTGCAATGTGAGGATGTGTGTCTTAGATAAATGTTTGGAGGGTTTAATGTGAGTGTTTGAGTTTTTATTGGCACTCTTTCCGACAAGAAGCCCCACAGACTGATGGTACGGACCGGTCGGGTCCACTGGGGGTCAACCTCCTCTGACTCTGAGCAGAGAGGAACTGCTGACACAAGACGGCATCACACCGAGTCAGAACAGCAGCACTGACCTGCAGAGGGCAGAAACACAAGATCTTTGGTATGAGCTGGAACTGAGATGCACATTTTGTCACTTTATAGCCTCAAATTTGTGTATTTTATCAGGATTTCATGTGATAAACCAACACAGAGCAGCTCAAGGAGCTCTTTGTTTGTCTTTCTTTGGTTTTCAAAAAAAATGGGTGATTATTCTATCAGGATTTGGATGCTGTGCAGCTGAAAGAGTTTTTACTTTTACTTTTTTAACTTTCAGACCTCTGTTATAAAGTGTAACCATAGCAACCAGGCATTGTTTTTACAACTGGAAGCAGCTGATAGCATTTAAAAATCTCAAATTGTACCTGAACTTACAACCCAAAGAAGTTGGATTCGGCCAATAAAATTCAAATATATTTATAAAGGTGTGGAAAAAGGAAATGAGATCCAAGATTTTAAATTTGGGTGGAGGATCAGTTTCCTGGAGCTAGTTATAGCCAAAAGTCAGAGTGTTTAGTGTTTGTTGGTGTGCTTTAGATCAAAGCATGATTAGGTGTTAGAATGGTCCAGTCAAAGCCTAGACTCAGTGAGCATGATTCTTTTTAGATTTTTTAGATTTACCTATATGAAAAATTTAGACAAACTTGTGTAGACACTTCACATAAAATACTAACAAAACATATTATGCATGCTGTTTGTAAAGTGACAAAATGTGAAAGAATGCAACACAATTTATATCATATTTAATTTTCTACTCACCAAAAAAAGTTTTAACCCATTAAAACTTCATCCAGCTTTCACATGATAGAGCAAACTCCGGTCTGTAAAGTCTTCCCATTCCGGTTTTTAGCGTACCTGAAAAAAAAGCAAAGAAACGTTATCACACATCAGATGTGTTTAAGAGCAATGGAGATAAAACAAACAACAGTGGAGTACATTTCTGCCAAAAATGAGGGGATTCTAGTAAATTTCTGATATCAATTTAAAATTTCTGAGTTTCTTGAAGCAAATTTTAAACTTTTCAAACTCATAAATTTCCAAGTTTTTTCTAGAATATTTCTGAGATGTTTTGGCAGAAATGTACGCCTGCTCGCCTGTTTGCTTCTGTCAGACAGTCCAGATCCATGACTGGATCCTGACGCCTACCCGTTCAGGTTGGCGGGCTCTGAGTGGTACACGTGCTTCCCCTGCTCGGCCATGCTGGGCGCGTGCTGCGCGGCGTTCTGGCTCTGACTGGCCTTCAGTGGGTGGAAGTGGTTCTTCAGATCGACGTGGCTCGGGGGCAGAGACATGTGCTGCGTCTCGCTTATGTTCCCGTTGATGTCTTCTTTCTTGGTCTCTGGCTTTTCCGGATCCTGATGTTTGCGGCTCTTTGTTGGCGAAGACACGTCGATCACTTTGATGTCTGGGACGCTGGCCTGCCGAAGGGCCAGCTCTGAGTGCGCCAGCTGCAGCTTCTTCATGTGATTGATGGCTACAGTGGCGTTGAAGGCTTGCTGTATGGAGATCAAGGAAAAACATCACATTCAAGACAACGTTTCAGCAAACCCTCCTGGTTTTTCACTAAAACCAGAAAGATAGGAGCACATCAACCCAATATCCATTGACCATACAATGAAAATACATTGGGTTTTTTTTTTTTATGGACAATGCAAGATAAAAATACTGAATCTGAATAGTAAAAAAAAAAAAAATCTAGAAAAAACTCTGAAATATTTTGATTAATATCAGATATAATGACTAACTTATTCACGTGTGATTTTAATTGCATTTCTTATGTAATGGAAAAAAAGCAATTGAAAAGATTTTCTATGTTTGCGGAACATTAGCTGCAGTTCCATTATGAATATAGACAAAACTATATTCAACTAATGTAAAAAAACAACACTATTTTGCAACCTGTTTAGAGAACAATAATCTCCATATTTTATGTGTATTTTCTTAATTTTGATTATATAATTTGACAATTGAAAATGTTGTAGTTGGTGATGTTTTAATGATGAACTAAAATGTGCGACACAAATAAACTTGGCATATGTTTTAGCTAATTTCTAATGGGGACCAATCCAATTTGGTTTGGTACCTCATCATCAGTTAGTGACTTTTCCATAAGCCCATCTTATTTAACCGGCCTTAATCGGGAAGGATTTAGGTGCACACCTGATTAATAGGCTCCAAACTTGAAGTTACATCACATTAAATCCAGGAAATGAGAGCGAACTGACCTTCCACTTGGACTGGGCGAAGTTCTTCTGGATCTGAGCGCTGACGGAGTAGTAGATGTCTTGGCTCCGAGCTGTCTTTCCGATTATCCTGGAGAACGAACAACGCAATGGAAAGCTTAGATTTATTCCAAGGTAGCGATTAGGCTGTTACCTAAAACCGATGAGTGCAACTCACCAGGGGTGTCTGAGAGCTTGCTCTGTGGTGTAGCGCATGCTGGGGTTCTTCTGCATCATGTTACGGATGAAATCCTTGGCTGCAGAGGAAAACGGGACACTTACTTTATTGGAAAAAAGACAAGAAAACACTATAAGAAGAGAGATGTGTGCATGAAAAGGGAATATAATTACCAGATTCAGATATGTCATCCCAAAATGGTGAGTCAAACTCATACTGAGCCTTCATGATCTTGGAAAATAGTCTTGTCTCACTTTCTTCATAAAAAGGAGGATAACCACAGAGTCTGCAAAGAAACATGGGCAATTAGTTATTTATTGTTTTCAATTTAATTTAAGTTTATTTGTATATCACCTTTCAGCAACAAATAGATTCAAAGTGTTATACATCATAGAAAGTCACCAATTTGTGAAACAAGCAAAATCAGAGTACTCAAAAATTATACTCAAGTAGAAGTAGCACTACTTAAATACATTTTTACTCAAGTAAAAGTAAAAAGTATCCATCCAGGAAATTACACAAGTAAGAGTAAAAAAGTATTTAGTGAAAAGTCTGCTCATTTAATATTTAAAAATTGCATCATCAGTTAGACCAAAATATAAAGCTAAGTGGAAGTTTTTGTATTTTAATGACAATAATTCATGTAAGTAACAAAGAAAATAACAAAATCTGGCAAAAGATAAAATTTCCAAATTAGTTTCTTTCAATAAAAAAAACTTCTGAAACTTTATCAAAAACTGCAGATGCGTGTCTGGTTCAGGTGAATTTTTGGTTAAAACATGTTTGTTTTTCTTTCAGATGGTGAAGAATCCAGATATGCAACTCAAGTAACAGCAACAATACTTAATAGTAAAATAGTGAAAAAATACTCCTAAAAGTTTTTTTTTTTCAAAAAAAGTTACTGAATTAAATACAACTGAGTAAATGTAACTAGTTACTACTCAACTCTGATCAATACATATCAAATATGTTGATCAGTGTTTCTAATTTTACTATTTAAATCACCATATCGGCTCTATGGAGGTAAATGTCCACTAGAGGGTGCTGTTGTTAATCTACTATTAACATATGTTTATTATAATTGCATATTCTCACCTCCTAAAGGCATTCTTCATCACTTAATCAATATTTTAGTATTTAGGAAAACAGATCTCAGATGCTGCAAGCAGCCTTTAATGTGAAAATCGATTTTTAATTGATACTTACAGGATGTATGTGATAACGCCAATGGACCAGCAGTCGACTGCCTTGCTGTAGGGCTTCTGTGCTAAAACTTCAGGAGCTGAGAGAGAGAAAAGGTTAAAATAATTTATATTGTGTCACATTTCTAGTATCTGATAATTTCCTATAGGGCGTTTCCTTACCTACGTAACCTGGGGTGCCGCACGCCGTGGACATGATGCCGTTCTCGGCCATCTTTGACAGGCCGAAGTCACTGATCATGATCTTGGAGTCTTCGTCCTGGCTGTAATAGAGGATGTTCTCTGGCTGGGAGGGAACAAACACACAAAATCTGTTCAACGTCCTAAAGTAGCTACAAGGCTAATTAGAGCTGCAACTAATGATTATTTATGATATTTATTTATGATAATTCTGACGATTAATCATCAAGTGTTTGGTAAAAAGTCAAATTATCAATCATTTAATATTTAAAAATTGCATCATCAGGTGGACCAAAATATAAAGTTAAGTGGAAATTTTGGTATTTTAAGAACCAATATATCAATAATTCATATAAGTAAGATGAATAAAATCTGAAAGTGATTTTTCACCTTGAGGTCTCGATGCACGATGCCGTTTTGATGCAGGTAGCTGACGGCTTCCAGGACCTGCTGGATCACCCTGCTGGCGTCCTTCTCTGAATAAACGCCACGGTCCAGAATGCGGTCGAACAGCTCACCGCCCGAAACCCTGACACAGAAAATCCACACCGGTAAAATTCAGTCATCACCATCATCATTAGCAGCTCTGATTAGATCATCACACAAATGGAAAACTCACAGATGCATGATGAGGTAGTAATGCGTCCGACTTTCATAGAAATCTTCCATCCCTATAACATTGTCATGTTGGATTCTGTTTGAAAAAACAAACAGGATTTTATGAGACATTTTTAGCTCTATACCAGCTGAGGAACGGTTAATAGAACAGTACTTACTTTCTCAGCACATCAATCTCGTTCTCCAGGTTGATGTCCCTCTTCTTTTTCTTCTTCACACACTTCATGGCGAACATCTTTCCGGTCTTACGCTCTCTCACCATGTAGACCTCAGAGAACGCGCCTCTGTTGACGACACATATGACTTTAAGACAATCAGTGGTGGAGGAAATGAGATATTCACATAGTCATTAACCTGCTTTCCTGTTCGTCTGCTAGAAGCTGTTTCACATTTTGAAAGTTAATTAAAACACATTCATTTGTAGGGTGTGATAATTTAATGCATCAGCAGCTTCAGATGAGTCAGTAGAAAATTATTTTTACTTTTGGAAATAAAAAAAAAAAAAAAAACACTTTTACAAGGCAACTAAATATTTAGTTCCTTGCAAAATGTAACCTAGATTTTTTGTGACAGACCAACTAAAGGCAGTACATATTTGAGAAATGAAAATAGATATTTTCTTAATTTGTGGTTGGTTTTGGTGGTAAACATGACAAATAAATGTTTTTTCTTTTCTGCATACATTAAATCAAGAATACAAGTTGGAAATATATAGTTTTTTTTCTTAAAAAGTATTTTGGATTCATTTTAAGTAGAGCATTTTTTTCAAGTCATTATCTATTCCATAATTCACTGAAATGCACATTTGCTTTAAAGTAGTTCACACAGTTTCAATTTTAAAAGACAACAAAAATTGTAAATTAATTGGTAATAATGTAAACATAACTAATATAATTTTTTAAATTAAGGAAATCCGTAGTCTCAAGATATTTGGTTGAATAAATTTATTTGCATGAAAGGAAATGTTTCATTTATTCTCTTTAATGCCTCTTCTTGGAGTAAAAATGTCCTGATTTGAGTTTCTTGGAGCTAGTAAAGAATAGTATCATCATAAGGTTAAGATCTGATGAACTCTGCAGCTTAACTATTCGCATGCCAGAAGCTTGTTATTGTGTTCTGTTCCCATGCTATCTTCAGCCGCAGTCTGGGAATAGTTGTTCCTCCAGGTGGATTAGAGCGTTTATCCCTGACGCAACGGAAACCGTGGCCAGCTGAGGGCTCCAAAGGTCAGACGGTGAGCATGTGCGGCGGCGGGGCGTCTTAAGGAGCAGATGCTGAGCGGGCCGGGTCACAGACAGGTGTCAAGGTTTTCAGGCAGACGGGATGCCATAAAGCCGCCACCTGCTCAGGACGTGACACACTTTTCATATAGACAAAAAATAAAAAAGGTCACAGCTGATCTGGACTGTAGTTATGTGTAGTTTTATGGCCCGGTTTGTTTTTATTACCAAATGGTAAAGCTAGAAATATTCAGGCACCATTAGAGACAAAATAAACAAGAACATCTTCATCAAGCTGGATCTCAAGAGAATCCACACTTCCTTTAATACAACAGCAGGATTTTATGTCATTTAGTCGAATGAATGTATGTTATATTCATTTTTATTCACAAATAACACCCAAAAAGCAAAGGCAGAAGCATTTTAATACACTTAGACCTTTTTACAGTCTATATAACATTTTTAAATAAAACAAAAAGAAAATAGAGACTTAAGATTCAAGTCTCACAATCAAACTATATTTTTGAGCTTTTTTGTCCACGAGCTTTTGGTGTATTTTGAATGTCATCATCTTTCTGAAGTAGTTTTTTGCCAAAAGATGATTTAGGCAAAATATATAACTTTTTGCAAAAAAAAAAAAAGAAAAAAAAAATTAAATAAATAAAATGACTTAGGCCATTATTTTAGGATGCTGACGATATAATTTATCATAAAACTGATGTTATTTTTTGTTTGCTTATCACCAAATATATGTATATATATATAAAATTTGCTGTAATTTTTTATTTATTCATGAAATTTCATTTTTGACTTCTCCATCATTTGCAACTAATACATTTCATGTTAACAATAATTTATGTGTAACAACAACAATAAGAAAAAAGGTTCAGAGCTGACGACACAACCTTGTGGTACACCACAATGAATCACGACATTATTACAATTTTAAAAATTTCTTTTTTCTCAGCAAACTGTCAAAATAAAAACATCTATTATGAATTAAGCTTAATTCATTAAGAATGTGTTTTATTTCATTTTAAATTCTGATGGATTTTCATGACAATGTAGTGAAGGAAGCTAAATTTCTCTTGAAAGTGAACTTAAAAAGAGACAATTTTGGTGCCTCTTTTTAATAAACCAATGAAGAAACGTTTAGCATGTTATGGTTTCCATAAATCTTCGCCCACATAACCAAAACCTTGAGCCTGTTTTTCAAGCCGTTCAGGGAAATAAACGTAATTGCTTTTGACTAACTGAGCCACACACTATTCCCCGCAGGGAAAACACAGTCTAATCACTGCTGATGCTTGAAGCTCAAAATCCCTCGATAGAGTTCTCTGGAAGATTGTGTTTTCAGTTTGGCAGCACCTTAGATTTGTCTTTTTTATATCTGTTGTTATTAAGAAGCTCAGCTTGCTGATCATCACCTCTGATGGGAAAGAAATCAGGCCAGCAGATGAGATTAAGAACCGTCTGCACAGAGTGGAGCAACAAGTTGCAGAGCGATGACTTCAGCAGGAGGAATTACAGCTAATGCTTTATATTTTAGTCTGTTTCTTTATTCATATATAAATACTTAATTTATATTTATTATTATCACCACAAAGTGATTAGAAAACCAGTGTTTATGTCAGGAGCATCTATACATGTTCACATTAATATAAATAATTTTAAAGATGAGTTTTTCACATTTAGGATAATTTATGGAGATGAAAATTTGACAAAAAGTAAAAAATAGACACTTTTGATCAGGCAACATACAGAAAAAATTATCTAAAATAGATACAGCTCTGGAAAAAATGAAGAGCCCACTGCACTGAAACCCACTGAAAAGCTCCTGGTTATTCCACCAAATGTTGATTTCTGAACTCTTTAGTTTTCACACTCAAGCTGCATTATTTCTGTTTTATTCATGAATGAAAATGTAAATTTTGCCCCTGATTTTTGATAATATGAGACAGATGAAGCTTTAGATTTTCTTTATGAAAAGAAAGATTATTTGAGCGGCACATCTCCGTTTTTTTTTCACTAATTTTTTAAGAAAAATACCAATAGAGAGGTCCCAGTTTTAATGAATGAACTTTGTCTCTGCCTCATCAGACAGGAAACTAAAACTTTAACGAAGCAGGCCTCCTTAGGTCAATCCAATCAAACCACTAATCTGCTCCACCTCCAGCTGTGCAGAACATTTCAAACAACAAGAGACAGACAGATGGGCGAAGTACTTACGATCCCAACTCTTCTATGAATTCAAAAATCTCCTGGATGTTTTCCGTGTTCTTCTTCCACGCGTAGTCGCCCTCCTGGCGCCCCATGTCTGCAGCGGGGATTTCTTTCAGAGGGAAACAGAAGACACAAGACAAGAGGTCAGCGCACAGCGAAGCTCCACGGATGTCAAAGTGTTGCATGGGCAGCAACGCCTGCTCAGCATCGTGATATAATAATCATACGTCCAGACAGTCATATGGGATTACTGCAGGTATGACGAAGCAGTTGTGAAGGTTGATGCGTCTGCCGCAAAGCTCAGACTGTCTGACAGCAGCAGACTAAGGGTTCGCCCAATAATCTGATCAGAAGCCAGTTTATTCAGCTCACATCTGTGCAGCAACTTCACAAAGGGAATAAAAGCAAAACTGAATGATGAGAATAAAATCAGATCCTGAGGAAATAACCAGATCCAGACCTGGAAGGCTTAAATCTGAGCTGGGGAAGAAGCCATTAAAACTGGAGGTTCCAAGAAGGATTAGGAGAACTTTAAATGAGCAGGTTACCCACTTTGTTTCTTGTCCTCTTTCCTCTTATATAAGGGATTAAAAACTCCTGATCTGGAGACCTGACCGTCTCACAGGTGACACCCTGAAATACCTTCAGGCCTAATGAAACATACAGGAATCAAACATATCATCACTAAAATTAATAACCTGAGTCATTTTAGAGGGACAGGAAGTCATGAGATATTGCATCTTCTACCTGTTTCTTTTTGAACAAGTCATGTAAAATTGCATGTCAGTTGCCATGATTTGTTTTATTATTTGTTTTATTTTGTTACTTTTTATTGTCTGCCTGAGATAAACAAACAAATATATATATATATATATATATATATATATATATATATATATATATATATATATATATATATATTTAATAGATTGCTGACGAAAGAAAAACGCATATACTGACACTAATAAAACAAAGTGAAAACAAAAAAAAAAAAACAGCTTGTGAGGGAAATGATCTAAGAAACTCGTTATACTGCACGGATTTACGTTTTATAACGGTACTACCTCTTTATAAAGGCAAAGATGACATACAAAGAAACAGAGAGGGCATTTGGATCAATCTTTCACTGAGTCAGATGCTCCAAAAACGGCTGCAGAATTTGTTAGTGAAGCCTAGTTTCTTCTTATGGAGTGTCTCAATAAGTTCAGTTAAATGTATTAAACTTTAACGTTGAAATTAATGAGAGTTTTAGAGTAGATTCAGTTTTCATTTCATTACATGACGCAGATCCTGCAGCAAAGACAACAAAAAAACAAAAGCGATTTCTAAAAGTCAAAAACATGCAACAAGTTGCAGTTTAAAAAAGAGATAATTTCTGCTCCCGTTTAATTTCTGTTGCTATTATTCTGTCGTGACAGAAAACAAGAGAAAATGCTTTCTGCTATCTGAGACTGGATGATGCATTCATGCACCAGCAGAGGAGCCGAAGTAGCTGCAGCATCCGCGGAAAAAAAATAAAAAATCTCTGCGACACAAATGAATCATCAGACATTCAGCTCAGGTTTGAACCCATGACAGAAAAAACAAAAAAGCACAACAACAAATAGAAGATATTGTCAATTATTAATCTAAACAAGCTGTTCGCATAAGACAAATGAAGCATCAAACAGCTGAGACTCACCGAGATGCTCTGCACGGTAAAGAGCTGTGACTGGCTCTCCTGCGGGGTCTGCACAGATTACTGAGTGAAGCAGCGCTCAAATAACCGTTGTCACGTCGGGGATTATTGCATCCCCGTGGACAGAACCCGGAAGGGGCGGGGCTTCTCATTCAGCCTGAGAGCGGATCACCTGGCTGCAGCCGCATCATTCATCTGCCTGCAGCAGCGGAACAAACCTGCAGCAAATGGACAATAATAATAATAATAATAATAATAATAATAATAATAATAATAATAATAATAATAATAATAATAATAAT